GGGACTTGGGAGCTGAAATTGTTTTTTTTTTTTAATTCCCAGGCGATTCTCAGGTACACGCAGAGCCCCTTAGAGGATAATGCAGGCCAACAGAAACTCACTCTGAGAAGGCAGGGCCTTGTTCAAAACACCCAGCAATGGCCAGGCACGGCGGCTCATGACTGTAATCCCAGCACTTTGGGAGGCCGAGGAGAGAGGATCACTTGAGCCCAGAAGTTTGAGATTAGCTTGGGCAGCAGAGGGAGACCCTGTCTCTATAGAAAATACAAGAACTACCCAGATGTGGTAGCACATGCCTGTAGCCCCAGCTACTCGGGCGGTTGAGGTGGAAGGATTGTTCGAGCCTAGGAGGTTAACGCTGCAGTGAGCCCAGATAGCACAACTGCATTCCAGCCTGGGTGACAAAGACCCTATCTCAAACAAAACAAAACGGAAACCACCCAAAAAGTTGGTGACGGAACATGAGACAGACACCCTTCCTGAGAGCTATGCCTCTGAGGTTTCTGACCTAGGGATCCTGAGCCTGGAGACCTGGGGCTTCCTCTATATTTACCCCCATACTTTTTGGGTCCTGGCCTCCAGGGAAGTAGGTCAGGCTGGCAGGTAGACAGGGAACCCCATGGGTAAGAGGCAGCGTCCCCTACTCACTATGATTACCCAGCCCTGGGTGATCCAGGTCCAGAGGCCCTGAGAGCTCCAAATGAGGCTCCAAGGCTGAGCCATGGGTGGGCAGAGGCACTGTGACAAATGTTGAAAGCTTAGCTCCAAGACCCAGTTCACCTGCACTCCCCCAGTTTACTGTCTGTGGGTCTGGGGCCACCTCTCCAGGTACTCAAAAGAGATCTTCGCCAGGCACAGTGGCTCACGCCTGTAATCCCAACACTTTAGGAGGCCGAGGCGGGCGGATCACCTGAGGTCAGGAGTTTGAGACCAGCCTGACCAACATGGAGAAACCCCGTCTCTACTAAAAATACAAAATTAGCCGGGTGTTGTGGCACATGCATGTAATCCCAACTACTCGGGAGGCTGAGGCAGGAGAATCCCTTGAACTCAGCAGGCGGAGGTTGCGGAGAACCAAGATTGCCCCATTGCACTCCAGCCTGGACAACAACAGCGAAACTCTGTCTCAAAAAAAAAAAAATGAGGTCTTCAAGAGATGACTTGAGATCCTGACGGGTTTACCCTGTGTACCCAAGGCAAGTTCTCCCTAGCCACTGGCCTAAGGCCATATTAAATCATCCACTTTTTGTTGGCCCTGATCAGCTACTCCAGCCCTGGCCTCTGATGCTCCCACCTGTGGTGAAGGATAAAGCAGTGGCATTGGCCTCACTCTCCTGCCAAAAACAGGCGTGGGCCTGCTTTCCTTTGCCGGCCGGCAGTCTCAACCGCTCCTGGATCCACTCCCCAGACCCCTCCCGTCCTTCTCACCCAGAGTTAATGTACAATCTTCAACAGGACCTCTTATTCGCCAGGAGGCTCTAATTGGCCTCCTCCACTTTGCGCTGAAGAACTCTGGCCAGAATCTGAAGATTGCCTCTGCCTCCCTCCCTAACCAATGCCCCCTTCCCATCTCCCAGGTGACCTGGCCCATCTGCCCACCAAGGCCACCCCTGCCTTCAACACATTCATTTTTATCCAGCCCTTACTGGGTACCTCCTGAGGCCTACACACTGGGCACTGGGTTAGCCCCGGAATTCAGTCAAATCAGCTACGGGTTCACAGACATGGGCACCAACGGCCTCGGGAAAAGCAGAGGGGACCAGAGTTAAGAAAGGAGGCAGAAGGATTCTAAGGTGGATGAGGCAGAGAGAAAATCACTTAGAGCAACACCCCTCACACTTTAATGCACCAGTCCCCTGGGGATCTTAATAAAATGCAGATTCGGCCGGGCGCGGTGGCTCAAGCCTGTAATCCCAGCACTTTGGGAGGCCGAGGCGGGTGGATCACGAGGTCAGGAGATCGAGACCATCCTGGCTAACATGGTGAAACCCCGTCTCTACTAAAAATACAAAAAACTAGCCGGGCGTGGTGGCGGACGCCTGTAGTCCCAGCTACTCGGAGGCTGAGGCGGGAGAATGGCGTGAACCCGGGAGGTGGAGCTTGCAGTGAGCCGAGATCGCGCCACTGCACTCCAGCCTGGGGGACAGAGCGAGACTCCGTCTCAAAAAAAAATAAAATAAAATAAAATGCAGATTCTCATTCAGTAGGACTGGGCATGGGGTCTGAGATGCTGCATTTCTGACAAGCTTCCTGGTGACGCTGAAGCTGCTGGACTGATTACTTACAGCACTTACAAATCATTCCTTCTTTGACCTTTAAGTTCCAAGGAAGCAGGAAGCACAGCTCCCTTAATCACTACCAAGTCCCCAGCACCCAGTACAGTGCCTGTGGACCGGCTAAATATATGAATGGTGTTAATCTTGGCAAGGTGCCCAGCATTCCTGGGCCTACAGGGAAGCCTCCAATGTGAGGAACACCAGAGAGTGGTTTGTACAAAGCAGACAAAGCAGTTCAAAAGCATAGAGGACAAAGGGTTAATTCTGCCCTAGGGGTAGGGGAAGCTGGATTTCTCAAAAGAGGCCACTTTGCATTAAGCCTTAGAGGGTGGGACAGATTTACCCAGGTGGAGACTTGCTGAAGGGCGGGAACAACCCAAGAGCAAAGGTAAAGAGACTGAGAGCACGGGACAGGTTGCAGTCATGTGGTACACCTGGAGTTCCAGGTGTGGGAAGGTGAAAAAGCCCCAGAAAAGTATGATGCAGACATGCACAGGCCGATGTTAGAAAGTCATGCTAGGAGGGTGGACGCCCGCTGGTGGAACATCAGGAGATGTTGGAGGTGTTTGCAGGGGGAGGGCACCCTGGCATAGAAGGGCTTTCTAGAGGTCACCAGGATCTGTCCCAGGATCAAGGTAGACTGGAAGAAGCAGTTCCTGGGGCAGGAAGGGCCAAGGTGGGAGGAAGTTATGGAGGTAACAGAGAGAATCCTTTGTGAGGAAGTGAGGCCTGCACGAGGGTAGGGGAAGCAGCAATAAGATGTTTTCCCTGATTCTGTTAAATCTCACAGGTGCTAGGCAGGGCACGGTGGTTCACACCTATAATCCCAGCACTTTGGAAGGCTGGGGTGGGCGGATTGCTTGAGCTGCGGAGTTGGAGACCAGCCTGGGCAACATGATGAAACCCAGTCTCTACAAAAAAAATACAAAAATTAGCCAGGTGTGGTGATGTGCCTATAGTCCCAGCTAGTTTTGGGGGCTGAGGCAGGAGGATTGCTTGAACCCCAGAGGTCGAGGTTGCAGTAAGCTGAGATTGCATCACTGCATTCTAGCCTGGTGACAAAGTGAGAGCTTGTCTAAAAAAAAAAAAAAAAAAAAAAACTCACAGGCGCTTGAAAATCATCACGTGTTTAGCCCCAAGCCAGGCACTAAGCAACAGAGGTGGTCGTTTCCCAAAAGTCCCTGGTACTCTTCAGACACCAAGAGGGGACTTCCACAATATTTCCCTATGTCCCTCTCAGCCCCCCACACCCTCTCCTCCTTCCCTCAGCTTTATCAGGAGTGTTTACTCTGTACCTACTATGGGCAGCCCTGACGTCACTAGCCCTAGTCACTGCTCTCTGGAGGAGGCCTGCACAGATGCTGGCCCAGATGTGGCTCCACCCCCATCCTCTAGGGAGCTGGGAAGAAGTCAGATCTAGTGGAAGTGGGGACAAACAGCCAGGGATTCCACATGTGAAAGGGAGGGCACCAGGAGGGACCTGGATGGTTCTGCAAGAAGGCAAGCAGGGTACGCTGGAATCCCAGGTGAGAACTCCCTGCTGGCAGAGCCAGCCCTCCAATCCCACAATCCATTCCCTTTACACCAAGATGAAAGCTAAACTCCCAGCAACCCTGGGAGAGACCGGTGACCCCTCACCTCCCAGGCTTGGGGTAAGCCGGGCCCTGTCCAGCGTCAGTCCTGAGCTGAGGGTGCCAGGTTGTCCTCCAAGGCCACCAGAGAGAAGGCACCACATGGCTGGCTGGTCCCACTGAGTGGGTCAGCAGAGGAGGGTGAGTGTACCCTAGAAGACAGCCACGTGTGGTTGGGAGGATGATACAATTTAACCCAGGCCCCCGGACTGAAAACAGGACAAAGGTAGCAGACCCTGCCCTGGGGCCTGGCTGGAGAAACCACAGTACACTCCCATCCAGCGAATCACCCAGCTGCTCCTCTGAAGATAAACCCTTCTTCTCTGCCTAATTTCTCTGCTGCCCTATCTCTGCTACAGGCCTGGCTCTCTCCAGGGACATGAATTGATTCCCTGTTCATCCAGCCCAGACCCTGGGAGGTGGCAGCCAGAATTAATTAATGTTTGTGAAGTGCTGGAGAGAAGCTAGAACCAAGGACCCAAGGGCGCCAGATGACCCGCGCAGGAAATTGAATGGGAGAGGCGGGGAGAAGGGGCAGCTGGCCAAGACCTTGGAGCCTGGAAGGGGAGGGCTGAGAAGACACTCCTACTGAAGCTGGGAAGAACAGGGAGAGAGCTGTGAGGAGAAGGTGCGACCCCTCAAAGGCACCACGGGATCGGTAATAGAGGATTCCGGGCTCCAAACTGAGCCTGCCCACCCCCCACAGCTCCGCCCTACCCTCAGAGCCGGGCACGTCCCGGGCCGGCTGCCCTCCCCCAACTCAGCCTCCAGCCACCCACCTGCCCGCCCCCGCGACCACCTGCAAAGGAAGCTTCGGCCCCTCCGCCCCCTCCAAAGGAGGGCGCGGGAGGGTAGAGGCTGCGCCGAGGGGGCCGTCTCCTGCCAACTCGAGTAGGGCGCCCGAGTCCTACCTGAGCAAATACTTCACTTCCTTTCTCTAAAAGAAGGAGGCGAGCCGTTCCCTGCTCCTTGAGACTAGGGGGACGTCCAGGCCCTCTGTCAGGGGGCGGTGGCGGCTGGACGCACGCAGCTGGCACCAGGGCCCACGGTGCCCCCTCTTTGCCCGCGCCCCTCTGGAGCTCGGCTCACTCACCCCAAAGTGCTGATGAAGCCATTGACGGAGCCCTCGGCGTACAGGGAGACGATGTCCCCGATGTGAAGAAAGCTGGACATTTCACTCATGGCTGCGGCCCTCCGGGGCCCGGGGCGTGAGGGGCGCCTAGGGGCGCGTGGCCAAGCTCAGTGCGGAGGACTGAGGCGTCCGGCGGGCGGCGAGGGGCGCGCCCCCACCTCGGAGCCCGACGCTCGGTGCGGCCGGGGCGGGCTGGCGGCCACGGGAGCCAGGAGGCTGCGCGGCGGGGCCCGGGGTCCGGGTGAGGAGGTGCCCGCGTCTTGGCGCGCCCGCCGCCTGCCCGCCCCGCCCGGCCAGCGCGTACCTGCAGCGTAGAAGGAGCAGGAAGTCTGGGGCCACCACACACATGCAAATCCCGCCCGGGAGGCGGGGAGGCCACACCCCGGCACCCCCCCACCCCCGCCCCGGCAGCCCGCCCGCCGGCACCCATGTGCACCCGCCCGCCTCCCGGCGCCTCGCGCTCCTCGCGCGTCCTGGGCCCGGCCTCCCGGACGCCAAATGCGCCGCCAGCCCTCCTGATCCCCAAAGGCGTCCTGCACGGAAACGGGGAGCCCCCGAGCCTAGGGGGCTCGCGGAACTGCCATCCCTGTGAGGCCCAGGCGTAGTGGGGAGTTCTCCGCCCTCGGGGTTCCCGGACTATCTGCACCCGGGCCCTCGGCTGGCTAAGAGCCAGTGCAGGCGCCCGCGGAAGGGGGAGTCCAGCTCTCTCCGGCGGGCGCCACCCCCGAGCCGCTCGCGGAGGACGCGCCCTGGAGCGCCCTGGCCGCGGCCGCCCTGCGGCCACCGCGCGGTCTCCGCGCCCAGCTGAGAGCAGGCTAGCGCCCAGAGGCGCGCTCATCCCTTTGCAGAGCAAATTCGGGATTAATTTTTCTCAACGTGGAAAGTCTTTTCATTGCACAATAGAAAGTGCTCAGGCTTAGAGGGGAAATGAAGCAATGGGGTGGGTTTTGTTTTTTTTCTCTCCGCATTCCTGTGTACAGAGATCCAACTTCCGAATCAGTTCAGCCGCTCCCTCTCCAGGAGTTGGCTCCAAAACTCTCTTGGCTCCTTCCGTCTTTCCTTTCAAAAAAAAAAGCAGGGATGAAAATTACCTTCGCTAGTTGATAGCACACCCAAGGGCTAACGATGCCAAGTCTGGGTGCCGGCCCCCTTGGATTGACCCGCTGCGGCGGCGCCGCCAGGCTCTGGCTCCCGAAGTCCTCAAATTCGCGTGCCTGGCTCGCTTACTTTCTGTTCTGTTCCCCGGTGCTTGGGTGTTTGCTTCCTAGTCCTTTATTTGAACGCCTAAGATAGGGTGCCCATTGCCACCGCCATTTGATCACTTTTGCTCCCTTCGGACCCTCCACCCCCACTTCCTGAGTTGTGGGGGGCGTTTGTCCCTGTGATAAAGGGAGGAGGGGACTCGGTGACTGAAGCAGGAAGAAGAGAGGCTAGGGGAGGGGTGGAGACAGCTAAAAGCAAAGAGACAGCTGCTGACCCTGCGAGGAGAAGAGCCCCAGGCAGTGGTTTTTTGTTGTTGTTGTTTTTTGTTTGTTTGTTTGTTTTACGAAGACCCCAGGAACGATATGCGAGGGAAAGACACCTCCAAGATCACTAAGTATCGTGTTTTACAGTTTTGTTTTTTCACCAGGGCAAACAGTAACAAGTTTTATAGCAGAGCAGTCCACACCTTCAGCTATATATAAGCAAAACAATAGTTCACCAAACAATACTTACTCTTATGACCTTTGATGCACGCTGATATTTTCTATTCTATTTCAGTTGTGTTCTTCTTGTTGCTTTAATGCTGATTGTTACCCACTGAATTGTTTTTTTTTTTAATGTCCCAAATGGGTTGCAAACTGCAGTTTGAAAAACCTCATCCAGTCCACTGTGCCAAAAAGAGATGGCCAAAGCCCAGAGAAGGAACACCACCCATCAAGGGCACACAGTAGATTCCTGGCAACTGGAGGCAGAAGCCAACCAAGCCTCTGATTTTTAGCCGGGTATTCTCCTATTACCCCGCACCAACTGAGCCACAGCAATGGGTCCCTGGAGCCTCACTGAGAAGGGGCAGCCCCTGGGACAGTTTCACTTGCTCCCAGGAGTCAGGCCTCCTGTATCTTCCCCAATAGTTAGAAGGGAAAAATATGCCCTCATTCCATAAGCATTTATCGAAGGCTTGTTATGTCAGGCCTCTGCTGGGCACCAGGCTCTGATCAAGCTGTCAGCCTGGGCCCAATTGCCTTTTTCCCCTCCCCAGACCATGAGGATGAAGAGGGACAAGTTGAAAACTTGCCTCCAGTGGTTGCACTCAGAACTTGTGCCACAGCCACACCCAGGAATACACCTCCTTCCTCCCCTGACATCCATATAGAGGTTCCATAACTCAGCCAAAGTGTAGCAGCCAGGAATGGAGGTCACTCCACTTCGGGTCTCTCTGGACTAAAGCACAGGGCCTTGGTTCTCCCCACCCCTCCCCATCCTAGGAGTACTTGGAGCCTCTGTCTCTCCACCAACCAGGAGGTCTCAGAGGTGAGGGCTCTGGGCCCCTGTCACGTGCTTCTTCCAAACCAGCTCCACTGTAAGCTCTTTTATACACCTAGGTTTTGGGTTAGAATTTGTTTCAAGAAAGGTTCTGTTGGTTAAACAACAACAATGAAAACCAAAGTTTAAGAAACAGGTGGTACAGCTCCAGTGAGTTCCCTCCCCTGCTTCCTGCATGAAGCCTTCCTATGCCTCCTCACTGCCCACAGAATAGTCTACAGACCTGAGCCCAGCACACCGGACCCTCAAGTCTTGCTGTCCTCCCACCCTCTGCGGACAACACAATTGCTCCTCAAGGAGGATCCATGCTGTGGACTGGTCAAGAGTGCAGGCTCTGGCTCCCTTTTTTTTTTTTTTTTTTTTTTTTGAGATGGAGTCTCACTCTGTCGCCCAGCACGGCCCTGCGAGTGGCAGTGTGCCGATTCGACTCCTGCAACCTCTGCCTCCAAGTTCAAGTGATTCTTCACTCTGCTATCAAGCCATCCTGAGTATGCTGGTGCCACCCCACCATACCCAGCTATTTTTGTATTTTTTAGTAGAGACCGGTTTTCACCATGTGGCCAGGGTCTGTCAAATCTCTGCCTCATTTCTTGGATCCACCTCCCTCGGGCCCTCCAAAGTACTGCGGGATTACAGGTGTGGTAAGGGCCACCATGGCCCACCCGGACAACTGAACTCTTTTACCAGGCCCTTAGAGGTCCCAGCCTGCCACTTTTCTTAAGCCAGGCAATTCCTCTCAAGCCTGGTTTGGCCTCATCTTGTTTAAATGGAGGAGGGGGGCCGGAGTACCATACTCAACATGTGAGGGACACGTGTGAGCCATCAGCACAGCATCCCAGGCAGGAAGGACTCAGTGTGTCCCTTCTCATTTGCCCAGGACCTCATCCACTCATACTGCTGTGCCTGGACTCCTGTGGCTCCCTCTAGCACTTCCCCTTTTCAGTTTCCCACGGTCAAAATAAAGTCTTCTTCCCTAAAATACTGGAGCACCAATCTTTTAAGTACCATTATAATATACTTTAAGAAGTAATAAATAAAAATACAGCGAGTACCCTGTATCTTTCCTCTAGTTTTGTCAAATCTTTGTATTTTACCAAATTTGGTTCCTTTTTTTTTTTACTTTAAGAATTAAAACTTAGGCCGGGCACGGTGGCTCATGCCTGTAATCCCAGCACTTTGGGAAGCCAAGGCAGGC